CAAAAATGAAAAATAAATATAATACATACTAATTTTTTTATAGATTTTTAATGTATGATAAACAAATGTAAACCAATTTTAGTAATAAACTTGCCTAATATAATCGATAGTAACTCATCAACTCAGAACTCAGAAATGATACAGCTTATTAATAGCGACACCAAGTATAGCTAAGTTCTGCTTGCCGCTGAACTGTTACATCGTGGATTCTTAATTGCGTGAAACATGTAAATATTGCCGAAGTGTTGAATTGTGTGTCGTAAATTCGTTCATTTTTTTCACTATTTGGATGCTTAGAAAAGAAAGGAATGCAAAATCTGCTACAAAAGCTCTCGCTGAAGTCGCTGCTAAGCCTGGTCAGGCAAAGATCACATCGCTTTCACTTCTGCAACTAAAAAGACGAGTCACGATTTAAGCGAGCAAGGTGAGGTAAACGTATACCCGATATCAGTGCCAGAGCAATCATTTGACACTCAGTCTGAAAGTGATCAATCGCGAACAGGTCTAGAATCACGAAGCCAGATAGATCAAAGTTTTGGTTTCGTGGAAGCAGCATTGGTGAGATGTGAGGATGATTTTACAGTGAACGACAAGAAGAGGAGCGCGATAAATGGGCGATATTTTCAGCCGGGAACTGAATAAAGCATTCTGCTCAATCTGTGCTACTTTCACCGGTTACACTGCAAAGCAAAAAGGTGTGTTTGGTGATTATGAATTCGGGTTCAGCAACTGGAAAAAAGGTCCTGAGAAGTTTAAGGAATATGAAGAAAGCGTTTGCTATAAAACTGCCTATGCTGCCACAGTACCAAAAGTTGGAGGACAATGCTCTATTGACTCAGTTTGCAATACAATCAACGTAAAATCTGTAAAATCGAGAAAATTCTGTTAACTGCCACGAAAGAAAGGAGAGTCTCGTTAGCGGCTAATAATACTTTATTATACAGTGCCTCTTGCGTCTGCTTCTTGTGAGCGCACGTTTAGTGCCATGCGACGACTGAAGACCTGGTTGCGATCGAAAACTGGAGGGAACCACTTAAACGACATCATGTTTGCTAACATTCAGAAGAGGCACATGGATATGGTTGACATAGATGTAGTAGCCAAAGAATTTGCGGAGAGAAACGAAAGAAGAATTGCCTATTTTGGAAAGTACTATTATAAATAAATTACAGTTTTCAATTTTCATAATTTATAGTTATCACCAAATTTATTAATAGCTATAATTAACGTGATGATCAGAGTCGTAATGGACCAGTATATCCTCATTATTGTATTAATTCGTGTCTATTACATTAGTCTAGTTCTATCTGTCAAGCTTGATATCAAAATTAAAACCATCAATCGTTTTTTATGTACATATATCCTTGTTGATTGAGTTGCAAATTAAAGACAAGTAAAATAATATATACGTGTCAAATTGTCAGTACTAAAACTATTGAATAACTATATACTAACAATACTATAGTACTGACAACAGTGGCGAGATGCCCTTTGTCAGAGTTAGCCCCCCTGCCCTTTTATCGTTCCGGCGTCCCTGATTATCAGATGTAATGGATTGCCACTTCTCAATATAATTACTTGAATATATTACTTGAATATAATGACCACTAACAAAAGATGCAATACGAGCCGATAGGAAGGGTTTAACATGAGTGTCATTAATGAATAATCTTTTACCTTTGAAATTAACCACAAGATGTCTGGGATTTCTTCATATTTCTGTTGTTGGTGTGGGAAGGGTATGGTTTCCTCCCCCAATTCAATAAAAAGACTTATTTTGTGGGCGCTGTTGGGTAGGATAAGGGTGGTATCGTGGTTTTGAGGGTGGTCCATGAGCCATTCTTTTTTGCTCCAGTTTAGAACCTGATATGGTTTTTAACAAATCCTGACCAAACAGTAATTTTGTAGGTCAGTGGGTTCGATTACAAGCTGCTTTCAATGCAGGACTCTGTAGAGGTCTCATGCAATCTTGGCATTTAAATGAAAGCTCTGTGTTGACATTTCCTAACAGAGCAATAGAGTCAAAGAGTCTGGCAACCTCGTACCCAGGGTCTTTACTCGTGGGGGGGAGTAAAGACCCTGGTCCGGGCTGGTCACGTGGCACCCAGATTTTGGGTGCTAAATTGAATTTATACTTAGGGACGGGTGGTAGGGGAGCGTTATTATTATGATGGGAAAATTCTATATTTTCATAATAAACTTGTTTTGTTTTGTATTCGTGCGACATAAGTTTTTGGAAGAAATGCATATAAAAGCATCACAATATGACATAGTATTGTCAATAACAAGAAAGAATAACATATTGAATTACATTACGAGTATGTTGGATCGTATTTCACTGTTGTCATCTCATTTTCATTCTCGTCTATGGCGAGCCAAGAGACGCCAAAGAAGCTCTACAAAAGGTTCGGATCTACACTTTGCAGACTTTGTAAATCCGTTACCGATCCAAAGCACAGCAAGAATGTGTTTGAAGATTCAAACCGTGAAATTTTACGCAACGCTGAATCTGTTTACGGTAGCGATTTTCAGCGAGATAGCGCACTTCCACATTTAATCTGTCAACCTTGCGAAAGAAGGGTAAATAATTTTATCGCATTCAAAAACATTATTTTCGAAACCCAGTGTTCATTGAAAGAAGAGGTTCGTGCAAGACGTTGTATTGAACTATCACCGTCTGCCCCAGTGCAACCGTCAAAAGTTTTGGCAGCTGGCAATTCTCGTCGGCGAAGTATTGATTTTAACATTGCTAGTACCAGTAGCTCTGATCCATCTGAAAGTGTTGCTGAAATGGTGCCACATGTAAGTTTGCTTCTTTAGACTTTGTATTGTGTATTATCTAGTTTAGATTTGTCTAATTTCTATTACATGCTTTCTGCATATTTAGCGCATTAATGATGCTCGAGTCACTGATGCATATCTATGTTATCTGTTGCAAAATATTTGATAACAGACATGCAATAAAAGTCGTGTTATGGATAGTTTTATATTTTTATGTTTAACAGAGTCAAATCTTATACGAGGCAAACAAAGAGCTCAATGAAGTTGCTCGGAGAACAAACCCCTCAACCCAGCAACATAGAAAACTCCAGTCATCTGCCTAATTTATGGGATCATAATGTTTTTAAGATGTCATGAATTAAGTAGGATTCAGCGGATGAATTCAATGTTGCTAGTAGGAGGCCAGGCATCCCTAAATGTAGGTAATAATTTGACTTATTATTGAAGCCTTATTATAATGATCTTTTTCAAATATACCACTTGTTTGTGAAAGCTGCAGTTCCCAACTAAGAAATTTCAATTGCTATGTAATCTTGTTAACTCAAGAGCAAAGTCTTGCTGCTTTTGCACTTGATAATTAAAAGGAATAAGGCAAAGCAAGACCCATAAGGCCACTCCAGCATTGGATGGGGAATTGATCTTAATCCATATAATCTTATAATGAGGTGATAAAAAAGTTAAGTTATGATGTTGTATTCATTGTTTTTTATGCTACTGTATTTTTAGCCTAAAATGAAATATCCTCTACTTGATGAAATTGGTAAACAGTTCTTGGACCGTGCTGCAGAATTGGTCAAGGCTGGTTGCAAGTTTGTTTATGTCCTTGACAATATTGACTGGGAAGAAAAGGCACATGACATGAGGCAGGAAGTTCAAAATAGAAGTGTTCATGCTTTGGCAACCAGTATAGTTTTCGACCGTGTTTCAAACCAAGGATTGCCCGATTCTGGTCCTCAGCAAAGTTTAAAGGATTGCAATGTTCACCAGGTGGTGGATATCAATCCTCTGGAATTGGAAGTAATCAGAAACTGGTATAAGATACTTATTGGACAACTTCTGTTTGAACACTTTCCAGCTTTTGAAATGTTTAAGCGATTTTTCCCTACAAGTACTGGCAGTCATACATATACCAAGGAAATGTCAACAAAGTCAGAAATTTTAACAATGCCTATCCTCATGAAAGATGAGAAGAAATATTCCGAATGTGTGGATGTGCTGGATCAGCTAGAGAAATGGACTAAGGAAATTTACATTTCTGCTGGACTTTGTTCAGAGGATGTCGATAATGAAGTTCCGCCTCCAATCCAAGCCCATTCCAGACCTGACCAACCTGCTGCACATGTACCACCTGTTTCCTCCATATCTGATCCATTGCATGGTGTGAAAATACCATGCTTTGATGACCAGTTGACTCGAGTTCGCTTCTCCGGAGCAAGAGATTTAAGGGCTGGCTGTCATTCTGCAAAACACAAATTGGATCATCTTTATCCATTTGTTATTTTTGACTGGCATACCAAGAGAAGTTTTTTAAAGGTAAGATGAGTGGATAGATTTATAAACATTCCAATTGTTACTTCTCGATCGATTTCATTTGATTTCGCTACGATTCAAACTCAATAAACGTGGTTTTTCTAACAGATTTTATTTTAGACAAACAGTGCACAAAATTACGCTTGACTCACCCAAGCCTTAGCAACGACCTTCTCCTATTTCATCAATAAACCGTATAATTAAATCGTGCGTGTACGTCATAGGTGGCGACAAATAAACAGTTCGGGTCCGGTCTAAGAGTTGCCGTGCAAGCGTGCAAATAACAAACATAAAGTATAAAGGTGAAATAAACTATAAATGTTAAATATCAATCGTGCGGACGGAACATCGCCGGCCCCGTGTTCAGCTCCGAGTTAGGATGTGGACACGTCATTCTTTAAAGGTTGGGTTACTTCTTCGAGCAACGCTATCTTCACTACAGGCCGCACGAAGGTTCCTCTATTCGTTTTGACTTCGACCGCGCGGACGATTCCCGAATCTCCGACTATCGGGCGAATCACGCGACCAAGGGCCCATACTCCACGAGGCGAATCAGGGTCGACAACGAGAACAAGATCGTCCTTCTGGAGGTTCCGAGACTTCGCGTTCCACTTTCGTCTTGGTAGCAGATTTGGGACGTACTCTTTTAGCCATCGTCTCCAAATGTGGTCAGTGACAACTTGAGCTTGTCACCATCGACGTCGGCTGGATATTTCCTTGTCGACAAATACGTCTGGTGGTAAATTCGAGCTAGGATGACCAAGGAGGAAGTGGTTTGGGGTCAAGGCTTCGTCATCCGACAGATGAGTGCTGACGTGGGTGAGTGGGCGACTATTCAGTAAAGATTCGACCTCGGCCATAACTGTGAGTAGTACCTCGTCAGTTAGGGTTTGTTTTCCAACGACGGCTTGGATGGCTCGTTTGCAAGACTGCACCAGTCGCTCCCAGACGCCGCCGAAATGAGGCGCAGATGGGGGGTTGAAATGCCACTCAATCTCTTGTTGTGCCATCTCGTCGTTGATTTTAACTTTGTTCCAGTTCCGAAGACACTCTCGTAGCTCTCGGTCGGCGCCAACAAAATTTGTACCGTTGTCGGAGAGAATGCGTCGAGGTTTCCCCCTTCTGGAGATCATTCTACGAACTGCCATAATGTAGGAATCCGTCTCCAATGTATGTGAGATTTCTATATGGACTGCTCGCGTAACAAGACAGGTGAACAGGCAACCATATCTCTTCTCGGTCTTCCGAAAACGCTTCACGACTAACGGTCCAAAGTAGTCCACCCCAACATGGGAAAATGGCGGTAGATGCGCTTTCAATCTCACGCTTGGGATGTCGGCCATCTTTGGCGCCTGTGGTCGAGCTCGTTTTCTACGACAATACGCGCAGTTGTGGGAAATCGTCCGAATTTCAGCGCGACAATTCAGGATCCAAAATTCCTGACGAATTGCATTACGAACGTGCTCGTTGCCCTCGTGGTAAAGCCTTTCGTGGAAATAGGTGATTATAAGCCGGGTGACATCGTGTTTCTGCGGCAGAATCACTGGATGTTGGGTGGAGTAAGGAATTGGGGCCTTGGACAGTCTTCCGCCGGCCCGTAGCAAACCGTTCCCGTCGAGAAATGGCGTCAGGGTAAGGATGCGACTCTGTCGGGATATGGGTGTTTTCGACTGCAGCCCACGAATTTCTGATGAAAAGTGCTCGATTTGGGCCGTCTTTATCCAGACATCTTTAGCGTCGTATCGCTCCGAAACGGTGATCGACCCTAACTGTCGTTCTTGCGGTGATCTGCGGCAGTTCCTGATGAATCGGAGAATCCAGCATGTAACGCGTATCAGTTTGTTCCACGACGAGAAACGAGAAGGGTCCAGGAGAGCTTGCGGATTGTCATGAGTCACCCCAGTCCACTCTTGGTTGATGGCATCTGATGCGTCATCGCTCGTTTTAGCTTCGGTCGGCCAGAATTCCTCGCGTTGATAAAGGAGTGCCGGCCCATTCAACCATCGGCATTCTGGGTGCAACTCGTTAGAGTGTAGACCGCGGCTACCGTCGTCGGCGACGTTTAGACGACCAGGTACGTGCCTCCAATGGGATGGGTCAGTAGAGTCTTGGATTTCAGCTACGCGGTCGGCGATGAATGTTGGATGACGACGGCTCGCGCTACGGATCCATTGGAGAACTGTACTATTATCACTCCACAGAAGGCAGGATTCAAAGTTGTAGGTGTGCTCCCTCTTTACGGTCTCCAACAAACGGACGCACATTACAGCGGCTTGTAGCTCTAGCTTTGGGATGCTCAGTTGTCGGAGGGGCGCGACTCTGGTTTTCCCCAATACAAAGCAGCATTGTACGGACCCATCTCCATAGAGAAATCGGAAATAGGCTACAGGGGAAAAGGCGTCGATTGAGGCGTCGCCAAACAGGTGGACCTGTACGGCCGTCGGTTGTCTCAGGGGCGTTCGATAGAATCTCGGTTGGGCGAACGAAGCCAAGTCTGCTAATTCATCTAGCCATTCTTTAAAGGGAGCTAGTTCTGCTTGGCTGATTTCCTGGTCCCAACCTCATTTAGCACACCATAGTGTTTGAAGGAATATTTTCGCTCGGAGAATGTAGGGTGCGATCATACCAAGAGGGTCGTATATTGTAGAAATCAAGCTCAGGACCTGCCTCTGAGTGGTCGCCGACTTTCGGATTTGGTTCTGGAAAACAAAGCAGTCTGATTCCGTGTTCCAGGCAACTCCGAGTGCACGTTCGGTCGGGAGTTCATCATTGAGGTCAAGTCCCTTCAAGGAAGGAGATAGTTCACTTTCTGGTATGCGGGTTAACACTTCGCGTGAGCTGCTGCACCATTTGGTCAAGCGGAAACCGCCTCTTGAAAGCAACTCGGTTAGGTTCTCATAGGTCTGCACAGCTTCGTACTCGTTTCGCACGGACTTGAAGTGGTCATCCATGTAGAAATTTCTCAGGACCGTTTCTGCGGCGGCGGGGAATTCATCAGCGCCATCCTTTGCGGCTTGACGTAGAACATAGTTCGCAGATGTCGGAGACGACTTCGCTCCAAATATGTGGCGACGAAATTGATAGACCTCCGGTGTCGAACTACGGTCTTCTCTCCACAGGAAACGAAGGACGACCAACCTTTTTCGTTGTTGATTCTAGTATTACCAGGGCCTTTTTATCCTCGATTGCTCGGGCTGTATCACCGTGGTATTTGCAGCCAAACGACTCCGTCTCCCACCTCCGTTTCGCTACAAAGGTCGGGCATAATGAAACCAGGTGGTCACCGCCATCGAAGGGACATGGATTTGTAGGTTTTTCACCTTCGTGGGTTATGTATGTGTTTGCTGGTTGGCCATCTCTTCACCGGCTTCGTCTATCGTTACCTGATCCGCTAGAGAACTTAGGTTTTGGCTTCGCGGGCAATAGTTCGTAAGCCTCCGATTGTTTCTGTAGCCAATCTCCGAGCGTAATAAGCGAAGGACGTACAATCTTATCAACGATATGTTCATTCCATTTTAGGATCATGGTTTGAGCCAGTTTCTCAATGGCGGTCCTAACGTTGCTGGAAGCTTTCAAGTCGTCGACATATCCCAGATCTTTGAATGTCCAAACAATACCTTTGACTACCGTGGAAAATGCCGTAACGCTACCTGGATCGTCCTCTGTAACTGCAGGTGCTTTCGAAAGCTTATCCAAGTGTGCTTGCACGACGATATGTGGTTTCCCGAAACGATTTTCAAAGCTCTTTAATGCTTGATGGTAAAGGTTCCCGTTGTACCTGAAGCCAGCAATCACGGATTTCGCTTTTCCGACAACATTTTGTTGGAGGTGGGTCATTTTTTCCGAGGGGGACATCGCCGTTCGGTGAATGATCGCCTCAAACATTCCGAGCCAATCTGTCCACTTTAAAGGGTCGCCGTCAAACTTCGAAAGTGTTAGTTTCGGGATCGAGTTGCAGTATGCCGAGGGTGTGGGAATTGGTTCGCGTTTTTGATCATCGTTCATCACCGGCGGGAGATTGGCAATCCATGAAGCGGTAGACACTGCTCTTTCGTCGGGGGCTTCGCAAGGAAATTTACCCAATTCGATACGCTGGTTTTCGTCCTCCTTTATCCCCGGATTGAGGCCACTTCAGATTGTTGAAAGCTTATTTCCGTTCTCGACAGGGGGTTGATAATCCTCGTTGAAGTCTCGGAGTCGTTTCTTTAAATCACCCGAATTTCCCGAACTGACTGTTTCGACTTCATCTTCAATCAACCTGGCTTCGAGATCGGCTTGTTCCGCAAGGTCTTTCGCCTCTTGTATGCGGCGTCTTTCTGTTTCTTCTCTGCCAAGACGGTCGTGTTCCCTTTTTGCTTGTTGAAATTTGAGAAGTTTTTCACCTTCGATGCGCTCAAGTTCCTTTCGCCGAATCGATTCTTCTTCTATTTGTTTTGTTTTCAGCTGTGCTAGCTTCGCCTTTCGTCTGGCTTCGGCTGCTCGTATTGAAAGTCTCGAGGTTGAAGATACATTCGACTTTGCCTGTGCGCTATATCCGGAAACGGATGGAGGTTCGTCTTCGCGTTGTTCGAGGTGCTCGAGTGCCTTTGCCACAGCTTCGTCAGCTTTTTCGGCTACTTCTACCAACCATTTCTTGACGTGTTCGTGTTCTTCCTCCGGTAGAAGTTCGTAAAGCTTTCGGTTACATTTATCTGCGCTCTGAACTTGATTTTCTATTTTCGCAATAAGGGTTTTGATCAGTGTTCGACTTCCATGGTCTTGTATGAGCTTGTTTAGCTTCGTTATAAAGCGCGTAACGCTTGATTTCTCTTGCGCTCTTTCCCCTTTGATGCCCTGGATCCGTGCGCGTAAATCGACGCTGGTATTTGGCGTTTCGATGGCGGGGTGCGAGCTTTCTTTCTGCGTGTTTTCGCCGTTTATATTCTCGCTCGTACAAGTTGGACTTTGCGCGTCTTGATTAGTTGACATATTCACTTCTTTTCAGGAGATATATCTTTTTTCACGGATTCAAATCCGGTTTGAATAAGGACCAATGTTACTTCTCGATCGATTTCATTTGATTTCGCTATGATTCAAACTCGATAAACGTGGTTTTTCTAACAAATTTTATTTTAGACAAACAGTGCACAAAATTACGCTTGACTCACCCAAGCCTTGGCAACGACCTTCTCCTATCTCATCAATAAACCGTATAATTAAATCGTGCGTGTACGTCATAGGTGGCGACAAATAAACAGTTCGGGTCCGGTCTAAGAGTTGCCGTGCAAGCGTGCAAATAACAAACATAAAGTATAAAGGTGAAATAAACTATAAATGTTAAATATCAATCGTGCGGACGGAACACCAATGCTTAATGAGTTAACCCATTAACAGTCAAAAAAACCTTTATGTCCAATATTATAAATACATGCATCATGTATGAATAAATTTCATTGGAATTTCTATAGGATTTTCAAGTAATTTTTTGAAAATTTGCCTCAATAAGGGTTAATGCATTATGTGGGAATCTTGAATAAACTGCTTTAATTAACATTATACGATATAAAACTATAAATGCTAGAAAAATTAACTAACAGTGGAAGCCGATTACTAATAGAACATATGTGAATGCCTATCATTATCTATTGTTTGGTAACCCAAAGGTGAACTAAACAAAATGTTGACATTAGCATTTTGCCTTTGTTTAATT